CGGAATGTCTGTCTCCCTATTTTCACTTTAACCATCAAATCCAAAGACCCAATTTCACACACAGTGTATAAAAAACAACAAAAAAAATGATAATGAGAATTCATAACAAAACCAAGTTTACATCGCAACAATCCAAATGTATGTTTATCCGCTTACAGGAGACAGCCTATAATTATTTATTTTCCAAACAATGTTGTTGTTGCTTTTTCTTGAAGCAGATTTCAGTGTGAATTCTGCTTTGCTTAATCTTCAGGAACTTCACGTTTCCGGCAGTCTACTAAAGATATTCTAGGACCCTCCTCCCCCTCCCACATGCAAAGGATGTGGCGGACCGTGGCCAGTCCCGGCCCCAGTACTTGCCAGTCTTCCCTTTGTGCAAACAAATAGCCAATAGAATTTGATCTAGAAGTTAGGCACAGCGAGAGATTAACCACAATAACCAATGACAATTAGTTATAATGAGTAATAATTATAACGGCCAGTTAATTATTAGTTAGTTAATAGTAATTAACTGATAATGATTAGTTAATAATTGGAGAAGTGCTTTCCGTGCTAGCAGTTTCTCTTTAATCAAGTTCTTCAACTCATTAGGAGTGAGACAGCAGCTTTCCTTGGCAGACTCATCCTCTCTATTAATGTTTTAGATTTTTTTTTTCATCCAAATTTTCCCTGAATTTGCGAAGCGTTTCCTTTCCCATAGTGGAAATGGCGTGGTGTCACCGGTTGGGGAAATCCTGCCTTGGCAGTCTCCGTGTTGGTTCGTGTTGGTTCAGTGTTTGCTGCCATCATCAGTGGCTGTTTCCAGTGCGCCTTCCATCCTTGACTGCAGTGCTTTCCTGTCTCGCCTAGGCACTTCCTGTGCGCTGTGGCCCCCTGTTTTACAGGTTGAGGGATGACAAGGAATCAGGTGATGCTTCTTCTTCTCCGTCGTCATTTTATGGCTGAAAGTTTCATCCGTCCCTGAATCATAATAAATCTCAGTATATGATTTTTTTTTTCATATTTAGTGGAGAAATTCCACGGTTTCCCATGAAGGAAGGCTGTTGTGACCTCTCTGAGGTATAGCTGAATCACCAGTCTCTCTGCTGTTGCCCTTTGGTAAATGAGGGTCATGTGAACTGTGGCTTCTGTAGCAGTGACTCTGGAGCACCGATGGCTGCTAACGCCCAGTGACTTGCACAGCATAGGTCGCATAGGCAGATTGGACCAAGGATTATCTGTGTGCAGTGGGACTGGACAACATGGACAGTCACACTGTTCACATGGTGGGCAGTTGAAAATACAAATTATTCAGGAGTGGGGGCTTTTCATTTACTGTTCGGACCACAAATGACCTAACTGGAATGTAGAACGTCAAAGAGAAATGTAGCAACTTTTGTCAGGGAGAGCGATTGCATGAGGATATTAGATGGAACTGATACTGAGGTTTGTGTTTTCCACGGGTGATTGTGTCTTTCCCGCAATTGGTGTGAACACCGTGCTTTGAGTGAATGGCAGTTTGTGACCATCAAAAGTTGCTTACGGCTTTTTCCTGGTGTTGAGGAGAATGCGCAGATGATACAGGGCAATCTGAGTTAAGACACCTGTCTTCCAAGATTACGCATGCAGTGTAAGTGACAGACAGCAGGGCCTGCAGCCTTGTCTTCTTATCATAGAGCCTAGATAGTTTAAGGTAGATGAGATGGAGAGCTAATCCACCTGCTAGTCATTCTGAACTTTTGTCTTTGTTCAGGAAGTATTCTGCACAATGTCTGGAGCCTAGAGCTTTTTGTCATTAACTTGAGTCATAGGTACTTAGACAACCACCAGAGATTTATAATGGATAGATTAAAAAACAAAATAGAAAAGTTAGAAGGCTTAAGCTTATTATTTTACTGTATTTCTCCTTGCTTTGACACTGTCCAGTAACTGTTTAAGCACCTTGCTTTAATATTGGACATAGTGAAAGAGACATGGGTTACCAATGTTACTCAGAAAACAAATGAAAAAAATTTAAGAACCCTCAAGCATATGCCACAGTAGACAACAACAAAATTTTATGTTAACTGTAGGTCTGAAAACAGATTCTTTCTTCCTTCCCTTTCTTCTTCTCCCTCCTCACTTTTCTTTCAACTCAAGCTCACACAAACCCCACATAAATTATGTTAACTTCTCTTCTTAATCCCTTGTGGATTGCCAAAAGTTAACTACTTCCTGTCTGTGTACCTCAAGATGAGGCCCCGCATATAAATCTGCATGCCTTCTTCTTGTTGTTTTTATGTGTCAAAACATAAAAACACATGTTTATGTGGGCAGGAACTGTCATCAACCCAAGTTCATGATATCTGTACCTCATAAACTTGTTAAAATGTGTGTGGAAGATATTCGATGTCCCATCTTAAAAGGTGGACAGAAAAGCCAAACATAGCAGCAGTTCAATATTTGGGAATAAGAAGAAATGTGTAGATAATGCAAAAGGAGAAAATAAAGAAGTCAGATTGAATAAAGTTAACTTTCAGTGGAAATGAAGCATTTTTAAAACTTCAATATCTTTTTTAATATCTAAAAACCAGATCAGCTCAATTCTGGCCATGGCAGAAACACAAATCTTTTAGTAAAATAAATACTAACTAGCAAGCCAGAGATGAGTAAGGCATTTGTTTGCCTTGGACACAAAAATTTAGGGAGTAATAACTAATCCCTCAGTCGTCAAGATAAATGTTATTTTAACGCAGTACTAAAATACAAAACTAATGCAAAAATTCATGATTGCCAAAATATCCAAATTTTAAATAAAGAAAGAATTGGCAGCAGTGTCTCCCTGTGCCATTCTGGAACCTTGGATGGAAGAAAAGAAAAGGGGAATCTAAAACGGTGACTTTTCTATGGCTCTCCCTTGCATTATTTAGGTCTAGTCTGCAGGAGAGCAAGCAAATGTTGTTTCTGCTGATGGTGTAAATAGCACACTTCTTTTCCTTTCATTATTAATTTGGGGATGGAAAAATGGGTTGTGATTTTCAAGTCCAGTTAGCACCCTAGATATCGATCACACATCAGTTGGGCCTTGCTTCGGTTATTATTTCAATTAGAAAGTGTTTCCCTATCCAAAAACTTGCCTTTGGGGTCAGCTGAGTATGAAGATATTCTGTTAATAAAAGTGCATCACCCTGGACTTCCTCCAAGCTAGCGTTTGTCAAAGCAATCTGTGCATTTTTTGGGGGTTCCCCTTCAGTCAAGACTCCTTTGTTCACTCAGATTCTTCCTGGCTGGCTCTGGAGGAAAGCTTGAAGAGCAATGGAATCCCAGGGATGGTCCTGGACATGTAGTCGTTCTTTGGGCTCCTCTGAATTCAAATGAGGGGTCAGGGCCGACTGAAGCAGCCTGTTGAACATTCTCCAGAATATGATTCTCTTGATGGGGTGGATTCCTGACTTTCACCACTGTGTCTTTCTTTCTGAGAAGGGCTGAAAGACTCACTACCCAAGTTCTACTTGTCTCTATGTCTGGGTAAGCAGCAGTACCTCCTGGAGATGAGGAATAAAGAGGCAGAGGTTTGGGCTCAGCCCTGACTACACAAGGAAGAAACTTTGGAATGGCATGATGAGATCTCTTGGCATTTCCCAGGTGTCTGGGTAACTCGGAGGAGAGAGAAAGTGGTTACGTGATTTATGGAAGGCAATAGAAAGCAGTTCACGGTGCCCCCTTCTGCGTCTGTCTTACAAGTGAAGCGGGTGTTGCCTTTAAAGACACTTTGATCATATTTTCTCCTCAAGTTTGTTCGTGTGTGGGTTTCATGACTGTTTTTAAATGGTCTATGATTCTTCGGCACCCGGGTTTTCCCTGAGGAAAAAAAGGGATATGCCAGGGTGTTTATCATATTCCTATGAGGTATATCCATCACAACTTGTATAAGGGCCACCAGGCTCAGATGAAATGCAAAAGCTAATAATAGCAAGGTGTTTTTTAAGGAATGCTGGTGGAAGTTCTTGAATGTGTACCTGCTGGAACAAGGAAGGGGGATTAAAATAATTCATGATTTGTACTGGGAATGTGGAAGGTGTTAGATATTTATGTTGCAGCAAATTTAATAATGAACATTTATTAGAGTAAAATAAAAACCCTAAGGAAAGAATGAATTAGTTCATGATTTGCTTAGCAGTGTATTTTTCTTACAGATACATTAAATAACTTTTTAATAATCCTTCACATCTTATTCATTAAGTTTATCTAAAGGGACAGCATATTAAAAAAGAATGAAGAAGACAGGAGGAATGCAGGGAAATGGAGATCATTTTAGAAAAGGCATCAGAAGAGCTTTAGGTAATATTTGAATGGAGATGTATAGGAAGTAAAGAAGGAAGCCCCAGATGTCTGGCAGAAAATTCTTGGAATAGATACAGGGCTTGAGAAGATCCCGAGACCAGACCTGGCTCAATGCATGTCATGAAGATTAAGGTCAGGAAGGTACGGGTGCTGAGGTCTCATATTTTGAGAAGCAGTCGGCTTCTACATGGTGTTGTAGGGCATGCATTATACCTAAGAACATACTGTGAGAAAAAAAGGAATTTATGGGTAAGAATGACATTCTATGACTCATGCCACAAGAATGTCATCCTGGATCACTCACATTAGGTATCTGACTATGCAAACGTCACAGAAATTGAGTTCAATGGGGGCAGGGTGGTGAGGATGGGCAAGATTAACTAAGTACTATGACTTGAATAGGAGCAAGAATCTAAGTGCTGTTGTAAAGCAGCATAAACGTTAGTGTAGATGAAAAAATTCAGAATATTTTTATCACAGATAGATGATAAATGTTTGATGAGAGAGACATGTTAACCAGATTAAACACTATTAAATGTTAAGCATGTATCAAAATATCCCATTAATACATTGACATGAACAACTTTCATGGTTTTTATGCACCAATTAAATTTTAATTAAGATTTAAAATAATTTTAGAAAATATATCATCAAAAATAGAGTAGAAGGCAATAGATAATATTATGTTTGAGCTTAGACAGGAGCAGTAAAAGTGGATAAATGTGAATATATTTAGACAATAAGGTCAAGTATATTTACTAATAAATAGATATGAGGAAGAAGAGGAAGCAACCCTGAATAAATCCCAGCTTCCTACAAGAACCACTGCTTGAATAGAGAGACATCTGCTAAGATGAGGAAAACCTGGGGTGACAGGGAAAAGCTGAGACTTGAGAGTCAAGTGTGTTGTGTTAAAGTATCATACTGTTCATGCCCACTTATCACCACCTAATGGAAGACTTAAAACTCCAGGCTCAATGAAGAAAACCTGTCCTGATCTGGATATACCTGTGATGAACTATCCAAGGATCAGTGACAAATTGAAAGCTGAAAGCAAGATATCCAAAAGTGTAATCAGTTGTGGAGACTTCTGTAAGAAAGTGTCTTGAATTAGGCCCCAGCAATCTATATCTCTTCTTCAAGAGAGACCCATGTGCTTTCCCAGCATAGACAAACATCTGCTCATTGGGTATTCTGTTTGTGTCAGGACACATCTGTTCTTAGGACTCATTTCTCTTCTTTCCCTACCTCCAAGGCTAACTAACAACTCTATGGGTTCATTTCCTGCAGGGCCCAGCTCTAATCCAGTGCTCTGAATTCACAACTGGGCAGACTTAGATTGTTGTGTAAAGGAGATTCACAAAGGAAGTACATGTTTGAAATGTTTTCTTTAATTTTATCTATCTATTTGTATGTGTTGAGCTGTTGTGCCTATGTTTCTCTGTGCACCACATGCCTGCCTGGTGCCTATGCAGGCCAGAAGGGGGCAATGGATTCCCTGAGACTAGAGTTACAGACAATTGTAAGCTGGCATGTGGATGCTGGAATTTGAACCCTGGTCCTCTGGAAGAATATCAGTATTCATAACAACCAAGACATCTATACAGTACCAGGAAAAAATTTTTAATATGTTCATCTTCTTCTTATTGACTACTCAGAAGGAAATACTGGAGTAAGCCACTTGTCACAGTTTGAACAAACAGCATCAAGTAACAGGATCCAGCATGATCAATACTGAGTTGTCTAGTAGACATGTAGGGTATTCATCAAGCTTAGGGCTCCTCCTAAAGAAAACGAGTAAAATATGATCAAAGACAGTAGGGAAATCAGTATGTCATTTTATTATTGGCAACAATACCCATGTTACAAAAGTGACTAGCAGAAATACTTATATATATATGGTATATGAAGAACACCAGGGTGAAATTCACAATTACAGGTTTCTTTGGTTTTCATTTGCTGGAAATGAGGACTTGTGTTTCTGGTTAAAAACATCCCGCGAATCAGCAATTCTTACAATCCCTTGGAGAAAGGATGGATGGAAATGTGAAATCATTTTCATCCTTTAGGGTCCCCTGATCAGGTGACTTTTACACAAATGTTAGTTTGAGGGATTACAAAAAAAAAAAGTCCTGTATTCAAATGGATTCCACAATATTAAAAACAGAAAGCAACTCGGACCAGGGAGTTTACTCCTGCTATTTATTTGAAGTCTCGCGCTGCCCTCATAAATCAAAAACTCACTGACATGATACTTTCAGTGTGTGCAAATGGGGATGTGAATAGAGCTGACAGCTGATGCAACAGCTTTTCTCAGAGACCACCATCAGCCCCGATGCTTGCTCATGTTCGACACAGCGATGCTGTGGAATCACGCGGAAGGTCTAGTACATCAATTTCAAGGGAAACAACCATAGTCAAAGTCCTCTGTTCCGCTTAATCTATTTAATAGGAACTACTAAAATATCTGTTATTTTCTGGAAAATATGACTGGGGATGCAAAATTTTAAGGAGGTTATGAAGTCGTGGGATCGAAAAGACTGATGTGGTTTAATTTGCTAAGTGTGGTGATGATGTATAGGCATTGATCATATTGTCCTCAGTTCCTTGGACTGGAAGAGGCTCTGGAATGATTTATAATAAGAAAAATATGTGCTGGCAGTTTAACCAGTCAAACAAATGCGAGCACAAAGACAAACTTTTTACATGTGTGTGGGTGTGTGTATGTCTCTTTGTCTCTCTCTCTCTCTCTCTCTCTCTCTCTCTCTCTCTCTCTCTCTTTCTCTCTCTCTGTGTGTGTTAAGATAAGAACTTTTGAGAGTCAGATATCTTTATTATATGCATTCTGGGGATGAAACTCACATCTTCAGGCTTAGAGGCAAGTGCCTTTACCTGCTGAGCACCTCTAGCCCAACTGATTTGAACTTACCGTATTAACCCTTCAATTTGCCATATAGGACAGTGTGACACTCACACCCAGAAGGAGCTTTGAAATTCAAACTATTTAAAGAAAAAAAGGGAGAAGCAACAATTCTACTATACAACAGCACTGAGTCTTTGACATTACTTAAGGGTGTTTAGGATGCTTCTTTTTCTCCTGTTGTAACTGATCAATCAGAGAACAACAGTAGCCTGCAGTTTGGTATTCTGGAACAATGCAATATGAGTCTCTGTGGAAACAGCTGAACCAATGTACAGAAAATATTGGTAAATTTGACAAATTCAAAATGTCCCTTCTAAGGAAATTAATCACAGGCATGTAACAAAATAGAGAATTTATATTTATAATGGCCCAAATTTGATCAAGAATAAGAAGGTCACAGGCTTTGAATATGGCCCACTGACATTCTCCTTTGGCAAGTACCATGATAAATTTATAGATAAGCCTCATATCAATGGTAATTTCAGAAGCCAGCAGACTGTGTGTATGGGGATTAGGATGCAGCTGAGGTCACTTAAAAGAATGCAACCCAGAACATTGTCAGAACTTGGGCTTCAGTAGAATCCACTGCCAAAGCCAAAATTGTCCTGAAAGAAAAGCCCCATCTTCTAGGAATATTCCATTTAAAAAAAAATCGGTAACAATTATTCACAATCTCAGCATTCCAAGCCTTAACTTTAGCACAGAGATAGAAGACAGCAGGGTAAGAAGGAAATATGTTGGTGGGTTACACAAGGAGAATAAATTAGCAGCTCAAAAATCGCCCCAAAGAAAAGATAAGGTTCATTGATTAGAGAGAAATGTGAGTCCTTCTCTAGGCTTTTGTCAAAAGGAGGCAGCAGCAGCAGATGGTTGTACAGGGAAAGAAAAACCATTCCTTTTAGATGATTCAATCATGTTTTGTTTTCCAATGTTTCTGTGGTTGGTCCCACACCTGTACACACATGGTTAGTACTAACTGGACTTAATGGGTTATCAAAAGGAAGAAAAGTGAGGAGAAGAAAGAGGAGGAAGAGGAGGAGAAAGAACATGACAATATGAAGTTGGGAGGAGGGTATGTGAGACGGAGTAAATAAACTTTTATGGTGAGTAGAGTGGATATATTTCATTGTGTACACACACACACACACACACACACACATGTACTAGCAGAATACATAAAAAATAAAATTGGAAGGAAACACTCCTCAGCTCAGTCTTTGAAGCCATGATAACCTTCAAACCCAAACCAGGTGTAGGTATCAGAGAAGAGAATAAAGAAAACAATTAAAAGCTGAGCAGTGGCGGCGGCACACGCCTTTAATCCCACCACTCAGGCAGCAGAGGCAGGTGGAGCTCTGTGAGTTCAAGGCCAGCCTGGTCTTCAAGAGGTAGTTTCAGGACAGGCTCCAAAGCTACAGAGAAACCTTGTCTCAAAAAACAAAACTAAACTAAACTAAACTAAATTAAGATCAATATTGTTCATACATATCAGTTATAGCTGTCAAGAAAAATAGTAGAAGTTTGCATCTACCAACACTACAATAAATAATAGGTGTAAAAGAAAGGAGATAGGATTGCCCAGACTTAATCATTCTCATAGAATTTTATTTATATAAAAAATAACACTCTTTGAAATGGGTGAAGAGGCAAGCACAGATCAGGAGAGTAAATATGTAAAGCAGAGAGCTAGTAGGGGACTTAAATCTGGTAGAAAAAGAGTGACAAACAAGAGATACTTTGTCAGAGAAGACACGCAACAGGCAAATGTCTAAAAGGGTTCTCAGTCATCTGGGAAATAGAACCTACCACCCCAGGGAAGCCTTACATCTGCAGTATTACTGAAACATCAACAAATAAACAATGTCCATCAAAAGGTGAATTAGAAGAAAGGTAGAATGTGGGTGAGAAACGGGATACTTTGCATATTGCTTATGATGATTTAACAGGGAAAACCGTGTAATAATATTTTATTTTTATTTAATAAATAAAACTTGCCTGAAGGTGAGAAAGTATAACAGCCACACTGGTCAGACATATAGGCCAGGCAGTGGTGGCACACACCTTTAATACCAGTAGCCACACTAGTTAGCCATGGGCACCAGGTGGTAGTGGTTTACACCTTTAATCCCAGCATTGGAGAGTAATATAAGATGGGGGAAGACGGGTCTCAGCTAAGTCTTATTCTGAGGTTTCGTGGAGGCATTATCTCTGGTTTGGTCCATGGTAGAGGTAAAAGCCAGGGGCTGGCTGCTTTGCTTTTCTGATCTTCAGGTTGAACCCCAATATCTGTTTCTGTTTTTTTTATTATTTATTCTCCATAACTGTCTATGAAAACATTTCAGAAGTTAAAAAAAGTAAAGGAACTATCTTTTGAGCCATCTTTCAGTTATTCAATACCATTCTTGTACATTTATCCCTGAGAAATAAAATAGATGTCGATATAAAACCCAAAACATGAAGGTTAACACATTCCTAAGCAAGTAAATAATATATTTTTAAAAGCAAATGGATAAATGAACTACAAAATCTCACTGTGGATTGCTAGCCCATAAGGAAAATGACCAATGGTCTAATGACTAACAATGCACAATGAACCAAATGAGTCCCAAAGAATTCCATTGATTCAGAAGTCACATCCTAAATGATGTATACAACAGGAATTCAGTAATATAGCACCCTTAGAAAGCAAACCATAAATGTCCCACACAAATTAGTGGTGGCTACATCTGTGAGGTAAGGTTGGGTTAGGAACTAATTTAAAAGTTGTGTGCAAAACAATTCTACATCAGGGAGTGTGGCTCAGTGGTTAAGAGCCTATATTGCTCTTACAGAGGACTTAGTTCCATTCCTAGCCCTCAAAGCAGATGACTCACAACTGCCTGTAACTTCAGATCCAAGGGGGAATCTTCTATTTTCCATTGGCACTGGCACTCACGTGCTCATTCATTCACATGTATAATTTAAAGTCCGTCTAGAAATTAAAAAAAAACAAAAAGAAGACTCCCATCATGATGGAGCTCTTTAGAATGTTTATGAGTTAATAATGATATTTTCTTATTAATATTATAGACAATATTTGTAGGAAATAACTATTGACTTGGGATACGGTATATGCAGGTTTCAGTATTGTTTTATACATTCCACATAAGATTTTTAATTAAAAATTATTCACCACAACCCCGTAGGCTTTCTTGTAAGTACAAAGTTTAAAATATGAAAACCATTTGCTGAATGTCATCAAGTAAAGTCAGCTGACTGAGTCACAACCTCGAGAAAAAAATCAGTGTTCTAATCTGTGGAACCTGTGTGAGTAAGGTTATGTGGCAAGTGGTGTGGGGGAGGCTATGTTGTACATGGGATGGTGAAGTTTGTTAATTCAATGACTAAAATGAAGAGTTCCCTAAAATCTACATGATTATGGTCAATAGTCAGGCCAACTAGCCTTTGAATAAGGGGTAAATACAATCAGAGTGAGAATAGAGATAATCCTTATAATCATTTCAAAAAAATGGTGTTGCGGCAACCACATACCCGTTTGCCTAAAAAGCAAGTAAGCTGTAAAACCTAATTTCTTTGAGATGTGTTTTTAAGTTCCTTTAGTTTCTTTTGCTGGTTCTGTGTATGGAACCCAGGACCCTGCTCATTCTAGGCAAGTTCTGTACTACTGAGCTATACCCTAACACTGTACTGAATGTGCATAAAAGACTAGATACAATATGAATGACAAAAATTCACCTTTCAAAAACTCTCTTGCTCTTATGGGATCTCTTGGCATCTTTTTGCTGAATTCATTTTTTTCACACATATAAGCAGATGTTAAACTCTTTCAAATGAAAAAAAATGGGGATATTTCAAGATAAT